GCCCCAGAGCTAGTTAGGTTAATGACATGATCATCCTATTACATATATTTGGTTACCGTATATATTTTCTTTCGTCTCGGTTACCTTCCCTTTAAACCTAGGGTGAGGAAATGTATCAACCCTTGCGGTTTAGGGTAAGCTTTAATTCGAAATAGGGAATCTTCAATTTACTGACTCTAAAGGCAGATCATCTCATGATGTCTTTTACTATGCATAGATTCATGAGTCCTGTAAATGTCATCCCGATTTCTCCGGTTTACAGATAAACTAATCCCTTACAGAGATTTGAGGAATCCCTTCAGCTTATCACCCTAGGCCTGTGCTCTTTTAGTATATGCCCAAAAGTATACCTATGAGTCTCCATATTTCAGGCAGACGAGGTATACAATCAAAACATGCATTCTAGAACACAGTCTAGGTGACAACTTATGGTTAAGGAAAGACATACCCAAATATTAAGAGACTGCTCTAATGATACTTTTGTAAGATTTCCTCATAGAGTCTCTTTGTGGGTCTGTTCAGTGAGAGTTATACCCTTATAGGTCCACCCACAACTTTAGCTAAGACATCTCCATATCTGTAGCTCATAAGGTCTTTACCTTGTATCCAAATACAAGTAGATAAGTCGTGCTAGTCTTACCCGAGATTACTGATCCCCATTCTCAGTGTCTCTAGACTAGGAACATAAAATTAGGAATAAAATTTGGTATCCTTAAATCCTCATGATCGTGATCTCATCACAGATACTCAAGAGATACCTATTTTATTCCAAGAGGTTTATCCAGTTACTCATATCATATATTAACAATAATATTGAGACAAAATATGAAACAGGATAAAGAGTGCTTATTATTTATTTACGACAATATAAAAAGGTCCACATATGTCCTAATGTAATCAAAAGATTGTCTCTAGGACATCCATATACTAACATAGACATAGGGTAATTATGCAATCTTTAAATTCTTGATCTTAATGCATGTTTTCTTGGGGAATAACCGGGGAACTAGGGTTCTTCTAAGATCACATAGATTTAGGGTAACAAGGAATTGAGCCCTAATTAACTTAGATAGAATTGATTGGCATTATATTAAGAAAAAGTTCTTGACTCTTTAATTCATAACATAACGAGGATATTGGGGGAAGTCGAAATCCTAACTACGCTTGTTTTACATTCTTAATCAATCATCATCTTTTCAATTATCTTTTTAATTTTGAATTTTCTTAATTGAATGTTATTACTTGTTTTTCATTTTATGTTCTTCAATTACAGTTCTCTCGATTCCAACTTTTCATTGCCCAACTAAGACGAGATTAGAGAACTAGTGCTTGAAAATTCGATCCTCGTGGGAACGATCTCGTACTCCGGTACACTTTTATTACTTAACGACTGGTGCACTTGCCGAGTTGCAACATTACTATTGTTATTTTTTCTGTTATTTGTTCAATCTTGTATCTATAAATCTCCCATGAATATTTTTTTTCCTTCTCTCAACAAGAAGGGTATCATACATAATGAAGCGATGAACTGTTTGCTGTCAGATTGAACCTACTATCCTTGAGGAACGTTGTCAAGATAGTAGAGAACGTTTGACCAACCATGTCAATTACTAACTTTTCTTTTCATTTTCATTATTTATAAAATAGTTTAAGGCATTAATTAGAGTTCTATCCTCGTGGGAACAATAATCTGGGCACTAATAGTCCCTTTATTACTTGATGCGTGCACTTGTGCACTTGGGTTGAAATTAAAAAAGAAAATGTGTTTTCTCTTAATGAATTGAGGAATGTTTTACAGCATAATATCTTTTCACCAACAGCTTTTGAACCAACAAGTTTTTGGCGCTGTTGCCGGGGATAGATACACTAAATTTTGTCATTATTACTGTTTTAAGTATATACATACTCTGTATATTTTGTTTTATTATTTTTGTCACATATTCTGCTGATACATACTATCTGTTTTATGGTTTATGAATGAAGAGTCTGAAATAGATTCTCACCACTCCACTGAAATACTTGAGTTCTTCTTTGATCCTAAGCCAGAACGCACTTTACATAGAAGAAGAAGAAATCTCAGAAAAAATATTTTTGAAAACATGGCTGATCATAACAATAACAATGAAGGAATCCCTCCTGAACAGAACTTTGGAGCTTTGGCTGCTCCTTTCAGAAACAGACCAGAAAGGGGAGTAATCCTCCCTCTTGTAGCTCAATTTTGAATTAAAACCCATCATGTTCCACATGATAAGGGAAGCTGAAGTCTTTCATGGACTCCCTGCAGAAGATCCTTACACACACCTCACAAATTTTCAAGACATCTGTGATAACTTGAAAGAAGAGGGTGTGACAGAGGACAATATGAGAATGAGGCTATTCCCTCATTCCCTAGGCTCAAAAGCAAAAACATGGATGAAAACTCTCACCCCTGGATCCATACACTCTTGGGAGGAACTTTCTAGCAAGTTCATAGAAAGGTTTCTCCCTATGTGTCGTCAAGCTGATGTTAGGGCAGAACTCTCTAACTTTAGAATGTTTTTTTGGAGAAAATCTTTATGAAGCTTGGGAGAGATACAAGGACATCATCAGAAAATGTCTAAACCATGGGGTGGAGAGTTAGGGTGTTTTACAATCCTTCTATAAAGGCATAGATCATACTTTTCAATCACATTTAGACTTTGCTACAAGAGGATATTTTTTTACAGGAACCCTTGAATCCAGGTATGAAATCATAGAAGGCACTGCAGAAAGATGTCTCCACTGGCCACTGGAACAGATGAGCCCAGTAAAGAAGCCAGGCATGCTAGAATTAGACAAACAAACTGCCATGGAATCCCAACTGGCCACACTGATAAATGAGGTGAAGAATCTAAAAGCTGATAAAAAACAACCAGGAGTGGAAGTCTTACAACTCACAGCAATTGAGAGTGAACCATGCTCAGCCTGTGGTGACATTCATGATTCAACAGACTGTCCATCTACTTCCTTGGTGTGTTATGCAGAAAATTTTGGGAATAGAAACTTCACCCAGGCCAGAGACAATCAGAATGCAGGAAGCAACAACAATCAAAACCCTGGAGGAACCATAGTAAAGGATCAGAACCATAATCCACAATAGAGACTGACACGAGTTGTCGAACTCGCGCAAATTAATTAAATCAGGTATCAAGGAGCTATTGGATGGACCATAGCAGACCTTAAAGGTATCATTCCTTCTTTCTATATGCATAAAATATTATTGACTGACCCTAACAGCTTTTCAGTAGAACACCAAAGGAGATTGAATCCAATCATGAAGGAAGTGGTTAGAAAAGAAGTGATTAAGTGGTTGGATGCGGGGATCATATATCCTATCTCATATAGCAGTTGGGTAAATCCTGTCCAATGTGTTCCTAAAAAGGGGGACATAACCGTAGAATTAAATGCAAAAAATGAACTGATCCCCGTCAGAAAAGTTACGGGATGGAGAATTTGCCAGGACTACAGAAAGCTCAATAATGCTACCAGAAAGGACCACTTCCCACTTCCCTTTACAGATCAGATATTAGACCACTTAGCAGGTAAGGAATACTTCTGTTTTCTTGATGGGTATTCTGGATATATCCAAGTTGCTTTAGCACCAGAGGATCAAAACAAAACCACCTTCACTTGTCCCTACGGAACGTTTGCTTTCAGAAGAATGCCTTTTGGATTGTGCAATGAACCAACAACATTCCAAAGGTGTATGTTTTCTATTTTTTATTATTTGATAGGTGAAGGAGTGGAAGTCTTCATGGACGACTTCTCAGTCTTGGGAATGTCGTATGATCACTGTGTAGTCAACTTAGAAGAGGTTCTTCAAAGATGTCTCTCTTCTAATCTAGTTCTTAACTGTGAGAAATGTCATTTCATGGTAAAAGAAGGAATTGTCTTAGGACATAAAATCTCCAGGAACGGGTTAGAAGTGGACCAAGCTAAAGTAGAAGCCATAGGAAAGATGCCACCTTCAATAAGTGTTAAAACACTGAGATTATTTCTTGGCCATGTAGGTTTTTACAGACGGTTCATCAAAGACTTTTCTAAGATAGCCAGACCTCTGTGCCATTTACTGGAGAAAGATGTGAAGTTTGAATTCAATCCTGATTGTTTAAAGGCTTTCGAAGCTTTGAAAAGTCAATTAGTCATTACGCCTGTTATTCAACCTCTGGACTAGAATCTACCTTTTCAATTAATGTGTGATGCAATTGACCAAGCTCTAGGGGTGGTTCTAGGCCAGAGGAAAGATAAACTCTTTCGGAGCATATACTATGCCAGCAAAACTTTGAATGAGGCTCAAGTGAACTACACAGTCACTGAAAAAGAGCTATTGTTGTAGTATATGCTTGCGAAAAGTTCAGGCCATACATTCTGGGATCAAAAGTCATTATTCACACTGACCGTGCAGCTTTCAGATACCTATTTGCCAAGAAAGAAGCAAAACCACGGTTAATAAGATGGATCCCACTGTTGCAAGAATTCAATCTGGAGATCAAAGAAAGGAAAGGATGCGAAAATCAAATTGATGATCCCTTGTCCAGATTGGAACACATTGAAGTTGGGCTACCTATCAAGGAGACGTTCCCTGACGAACAATTGTTTTTATTAATGACAGAGAAGTTGACGTTCCTTGGTTTTCTAATATAGCTAACTTCCTTGCAGCAGGATTGGAACCTTATGAAGCAAACAGGATGCAGAAAAAGAAATTTTATCATGATTGCAGGAGCTATCTATGGGATGAACCTTTATTATTCAAAAGATGTGCAGACCAAATGATAAAAATGTGTGTCCCGGAAGAAGAGCAACCCCAAATATTTTTTCATTGTCATTCATCCCCATATGGAGGCCATTTAGGCGGAATCAGAACAACATCCAAGATACTTCAATCAGGTTTTTATTGGCCATCTCTTTTTAAAGATGCTCTTTAATATGATAAACAATGTGATAAATGTCAAAGGGAGGGTAATTTAACTAAACAGAATGAGATGCCCCTTAATCCCATATTAGAAGTTGAATTGTTTGATGTGTGGGGCATTGATTTCATGGGTCCTTTTTCCCCTTCTTGCTGGAACAAATTTATATTGATGGCTGTTGATTATGTAATGAAGTGGGTGGAAGTTGTTGCCTTACCTACTAATGATGCCAAGGTGGTTATAAAATTCTTAAAGAAAAATATTTTGACAAGATATGGGACCCCCCGTTGTATCATCAGTGACAGTGGGAAACATTTCATTAACCGCCAGTTTGAGAGGTTGTTGGAAAAATATGGAGTCAAACATAAAGTTGCAACTCCATATCATCCACAGAACAGTGGACTTATCGAAGTCTCTAACCGAGAGGTTAAGAGGATTCTAGAGAAGGTTGGCAACCCTTCTCAGAAAGATTGGTCTCTCAAATTAGATGAGGCATTATGGGCTTACAGAACAACCTACAGAACACCCTTAGGATGTTCCCGTTATACATTAATTTTTGGCAAAGCATGCCACCTCCCTCTAGAGTTAGAACACAAAGCATATTGGGCAGTTTATGCTCTCAACATAGATGAGAAGGTAGCAGGGGAAAAGAGAATGCTACAGCTTGAAGAACTGGATGAATTCAGAGGAAACACATATGAAAATCACAAGCTGTACAAAGAAAAGATGAAAAAGTGGCACGACAAAAGAATTAGGAGCAAAGAGCTCAACATTGGTCAGAAAGTGTTACTATTCAATTCCAGGCTCCGATTGTTCCCAGGAAAGCTCAAATCAAGATGGACTGGGCCATATCAAATTGTAAATGATGCAGGAAATGGAGCTTTTAAAGTTCAGGGAACTGAACATGGCCATTCTTTCAAAGTTAACGGGCATAGGTTAAAGTAGTATTCTGATGAAACGTTCAATGAAAAAGAGGAAAGTATCACTCTTTCTGATTCCAATTAAGAAGTAAGTAACATGTCTAGCTAAAGACATTAAACTAAGCGCTGACTGGGAGGCAACCCAGTGGATACCTTTGCTCTCTCACAAAGAGCAAAGTTTTGGGGTGGTTAAACTTATCCAGACAGCTCCCAAATTGGAGGGAACGTTTGATGTTCAACTCCAAGTCCAATTAAGATACGTTATGTTCCAGGAACGTAGTTTTGGGGTGGTTTAATAACCACACATTCCCATTTACTGCTTTTCTGTTAATTTACATTTGTCTTCTTTTCCGTTCCCTGGTGTAAATTTTAATTCCTTTTTGAAATAGAAAAATCTTTTTTTGTTCAAACTGTTTGGAGCAAACATTTCAGTTATAGTATTGTGGCTGTGAAACTTTGAATAAACCAATGGCATGAAGCACAAAGTCAATAAGTTCCTGTTTGGATCCTCTCTTTTTTAAGCTAGAAGCTACTTATAAGCATAAGCTAGGCCAAACAAGTTTTGAGAAAAGCTTTTATAATGAAAAGCTCTTTTTTTTATAATGAAGAAAAAAGCTGAAAACTAAAAGCTTCTAGGAGAAGCTTTTTTTAAGCTCTTATCTATTTTTCTTGAATTGTGTGCTTTTTTTTTAAATGAAGAGTGATAAAGATAGAGAGATATAATTTTCTTGAAATATGTTCTTTTAAGTAATTTTTAAGCTAAAACTTTTATATAATTTCCAAAGAGCTTTTAGCTTCTTTTTTTAAGCTCTTTTTTTTAGCTTTAGCTTATAAGTAGCTTCTAGCTTAAAATTAAGGGTATCCAAATAGGCTCAAGTAATCATTCTTGTTCTTACTCAGAATGCTTGAAATAGGGAAGGTGAAATGAATTTAATCTTCAGATTTTTTTGAAGGAAACTGATCTGTGTGAACTAAAGCTGGTGAGGAACGAAAAATGCCAAACACTTACTCACGAGAGCGTTCCTGAGGTGTCACCACAATGAAACTTCTTAACTTGCCTTTATGTTGTCAGCACTGCTGAAGAACAAGTGAATTTCACTAATAAGGATCAACCTTCAAACACTCACCCTTTCACAATTAAACTCTCACTTCCATTCATACCACAGTACAACCCCCCACACACACACACTCATCCCATGGTCAACTAAAAAGGGCAAGGAACAAATTCAAAATGAGCAAGAGGACAAGAAGAAAAGAAAACAAAGAAAATTGGGAGTAGCCATTCAAAAGAATTCAGAAGAAAATACCAGAAAAGTTTCCTCCAAAGGAAGAAAAGAAGGTACAAAAAGATAAGGTGTTCCCTCAACCAGAAAAGTCTAGCTCTGGAACAGAAAAGCTGAACAATGTTCCTTGATCCAAGACCTGTGAAAGTCACCTTCAACGGCAGAAAATGGGCAGACTTTGTAAGCCTATCAATAATAACCCATATAGAATCATATCCAGCTTGAGTCTTAGGAAACCCAACAACAAAATCCATGGAAATGCAATCCCACTTCCATACCGGAATATCCAGAGGTTGAAGCAAACCACCAGGTGTCTCGTGTTCAATCTTAACTTTCTGACATATAAGACACTTTGCAACAAACTTAGTAATGTCATTCTTCATATCCGGCCACCAGAAATTTTCCTTTAAGTCATGATACATCTTAGTAGTTATTGGATAAATAGAGTATTGACCCTTGTGTGCTTCAGTCAAAACATCATCCACTAACTGACCTTTAGGCGCAATTATTCTTTCTTGATATCGTTTGAAGCCCTGACTATCAACAGACACATCTTTCTGACTTGTCATGGCCACAATGTCCTTATCAAATTGTTGAGCCTCTAATATTCTCTCCAACAATGCATTCTGAATGGAAACTTTCTCAACTTCTAAGCTACCATCGCCTTTACTAACCACCCCGTTCAGATTTCTGAAGTTTCCAATCAACTGATATTCTTCAATCATTAGATTTGCAATCACAACAGATTTCCTGCTCAGGGCATAAGTTACAACATTAACCTTAGACAGATGGTATTTTAGTTCAAATTCATAGTCCTTCAGGAATTCCATCAATCTCTTTTGCCTCATGTTCCAGATCAAACAGATACTTCAAACTTTTGTGATCTCTATACACTAAGAAATCAACACCATATAGAAAGTGCCGCCATATTTTCAAGGTAAACATTGTGGCTGCTAGCTCTAGATCATGTGTAGGGTAATTCTCCTCGTGCGGTTTCAACTGCCAAGAAGCATACACAACAACTCTCCGATCTTGCATCAAGACAAATCCTAAACCTTTCCTCGAGGCATCACAATAGACCTCGAAAGTACGCTAAAGATCGGGAAGGGTCAATATTGGAGCAGTCGTCAACTTTTCTTTTAGTGCATGAAAACAATCTTCGCATTCCTGAGTCCACACGAATGTGATCTCCTTTCTAGTCAAACGGGTCAATGGTAAAACCATTGTAGAAAACCCCCTCAATAAATCTCTGGTAATAACAGACTAATCCCAAAAAACTTCAGACTTCAGAAACAGTCTTAAGCCTCTCCCAATCCATCACGGTCTTTACTTTACTAAGGTCCACTACCACTCCATCAACAGATATGACATGGCCCAAAAATTGAACCTCTGACAACCAGAATTCAGACTTGGAAAACTTGGCATACAATTAATTATCCTTCAACACTTTCAGAACAATCCTGAGGTGGTCCGCATGCTCCTTATTATTCTTAGAATAGATCAAAATATCATCTATGAACACAACCACAAACTGATCTAGATATGGCTTGAACAAACGATTCATATAGTCTATAAACACTGCCGGAGCATTAGTGAGACCAAAAGGAATTACCTGGTACTCATAATGTTCGTATCTAGACCTGAATGCAGTCTTTGGAATATCATCTGACTTAAACCAAATTTGATGGTAACCTGACCTCAAATCAATTTTTGAGAAGACACAAGCACCCCTTAACTGATCAATCAAATCATCTATGCGAGAGAGAGGATACTTGTTCTTTACAATCACTTTATTTAATTGCCTGTAGTCGGTCACAAGTCTCATGGTTCCATCCTTCTTCTTAACAAATAACACTGGTGCTCCCCATGGGGACACACTGGGTCGGATGAACTGTTTAGCCAACAAGTCCTTAATTTATTTTTTCAATTCAGTCAGTTCTAGAGGAGACATCTGATATGGAGCCATAGAAATGGGCCCCACACCAGGCAACAATTCAATAGAGAACTCTATTTCTATCTCTAGTGGAAGATGTGGAATCTCATCAGGAAATACATCCATGAATTCATTTACAATTGGGATATCAGCAATCTTATCTTGAGTACTTATGCTCACTAGTCTTCCCAACCATATATAGCCAAATGTTCCCTTCTCTAAGGCCCGTCTAGCCTGATGTATTGATATACAAGGAGAGGAGCTAGTAGCAGACTCCTCAGATGACATCACTAGTTTCTTACCACAACAGTCAATCACTGTACAACTTTTAGAAAGTCAGTCCATACCCAAGATGACCTGAAGACTAACATGGGTAGACAGATGAAGCCAATTATATAGTCTCGACTTTCATACTTAAATTCAACATCCTTGCACATATAAAAAGTACTACACTTTTCCCTTGTAGCCGTAGTCACTTTCATAAGAGGAGACATTCTATACATTAGTAAATTCAAGCCCACAACAATAAAATCTGATATGCAAGAATGAGTAGCCCTTGTGTCAAGCAAAACATCAATATCAAAACCATTAATATAGATCATACCTTTTACCAAATTAGGCACTTTATCCGCCTGCTGCTGAGTGATAGCATAAACCCATCCCACAGTCTGAGACTAAAGGACAACTGGAGTAGGAACCATCTGAAGAGGTGAAGCCCTAACATCTCTTTGAGGAAAGTCTCTGAAATAGTGGCCAGTCTTATCATATTTATAACAAATCACCTAGCTCGTGGCACATGGTCCTCTATGCTCCTTACCACAACCAATACACTTAGGAATCGATACTCTCCCAGAGTAACCATTTTTCTTGAGTTTATTACCTGATTGTTTCACCTGCAAATTTTTATTTTTATCATTAGATTTCTTGTCCTTTCAGTAATTAGAACCACCAGACTTCTTGGAATCAGACTCGATAGAATTTCTGTTCTTTCGCCTCCTATGGATATCCTCAACAGCCCTGTATTGATTAATTAAGGTGGGAAAATCTCTGAAACCACAACCTGCAAGACTTTCTGCAATTCTATCATTTAATCCTCTCTGAAATTTTGAAGCTAAAGATTCTGAATCTAGCATAGCTCTCCTGAAGTGAACATACTTAGCCAACTGATTGAATTTGGACATATATTCATCAACAGACATCACACCCTGCACAAGATCATTATATTCAACTTTCTTCATTCCCTAGCATCCCGGGAAAAGTACTTGTCAAGAAAGTGTCCCTCAAACAAAGGCCAAGTAATAGCATAACCCTGCAACTCCAATGGACGAGAAGTATTTAGCCACCAATCACTAGCATCACCTTTCAACATATAGATAGCATACAATAGTCTCTGATTATTCGAACACTCCATCACCCTAAAAGTCCTCTCTAGATCTTGCAACCATGTAGCAGTAACAATAGGGTCATAATCCCCTAAAAAATAGGCGGCTGATGCTTCCTGAAAGCATTTAGTCGTATCTCTCTGGCCTCAGCAATATCTATTACAACCGTGTGAATAGATTGCAGCCCAGTATGAATAGTAGCACTACCATGATGACTAGCCTTACCCTCTCCATCCCTGTGCTCTACATGGAGAGTATGTGGAGATGGAATGGGAGTATGTGGTAGAGGAGGTGGCGGCAACGGTGGAGGTGGTGGGGGCTGGTTTCCTGCTCTACCATCTCTCATGGCTCTCAACTCAGCCATCATCTAGTTCATCAAATTTTGATAGGCAGCAATTATATCCTTGTTTGTTTTCATAAGTGTTTC